AACGCATTACATGAGGCAAGTATTGTAATTGTATAATTGGTGGTAGAGTACCATGTACCGATTATGTTGTACCGAAAGTAACGGTACATCGACCATTGGCATACCGAAATGTTTGGTAAGGCAATAGTATAAATTATTCAATACCATAAGATATGATCGGTACGGAGTACTATCTATACATGTGCCGATTTATTTTCATTAATTAATTTCCATTGCGATTGTTATGAGGCCAATTCAGGGGACTGGACGGGCAGAACGGGAGCCCCAAATGCTTGTGTCTTGAATGTAGAAATATTATTGCGATTTCTGACACACTAATAAACATATAACAATTAATATAGCGTAAATTACCTTGTCTTCGTATCCAGTAAATTTTTCAGTCAACGGCCTTTTGTTTACTCGTTTCACCCATCCTTCGGGCATCCACGAGTCGTCATCTACTTCTCTTTTGTTGATTGGCTTCTGCACAATTAACTAATATTAAAATTTCAAAAAGTGAAGCCTCCATTCATAGTTAACAGGTCATTGTTTCCATGTCCAAATCTCTAATTCTATTCAATTGCCGCAAGCAAGAATTAATTAATTTAATACAATGTAGATAGCAGGATACATACGCGACAAAATGACCCTTGCATGCAAGGATAAAATAGCTACAAAGGAAGGCATACCTTTGTTGCACCACCTAATTTCGCTTTTTTCTACTTCGAAGGTCCACAAGGCATCACAGAACCTTCTCCGACTTGTTCTCGCTCCATGTTCTCTTCCCAATTAAGTTGAAAGTACAAAAGTTGATAAAAATTATGCAAAACCATATCTCAAAATCTATGGTAACAGCATGATAAAGTCCATGATGCAACAAATAAATAAAAAGATTCCACAAAATTATATATATATATATATATATATATATATATATATATATATATATATATATATATATATATATATATATATGTGTGTGTGTGTGTGTGTGTGTGTGTGTGTGTGTGTGTGTGTGTGTGTGTGTGTGTGTGTAGATCATCTACTTTACCTCTCGAGGTTGATTTGCTGCGGAAATTCGCAAAACCAGCGAGGGTTGTTGAAGCAGCTGAGGGTTAGGCACATAAAAATAAATCAGCAGGTGTGCAAAAGGACAGCAAAATCTGTTTCTTATATAACCGAAATTATAAAAAAAAAGAGCATTTTGGGTGCACAAAAAGTATAAATTAGGAAGATATTTCTACACACGTAAAATTGGTAGAGTTAGTAAAGCAATAAATAGATGCATGAATTCTACTTTTACGCATCTAGTCGATACAAGGAAAGTTATTCCTATGCAATGTCAATCTAGTAATATTCTTAAATTCAATGACAAAGCTAATTCACCTCTTTATTCTAACAAAAAACTTACTTCCTCAAACATGAGCACCCTTCAACATAATTTTCCATAAGAAAGGAAATGAACATTAAAAGCCATACAATGAAATGATTCAACGCCAATATATACCTGTGGCCGTAGTATTTTTACTGTTGCTCTATGTATTTTAGAGCTTTAACTTTTGACTGGAATGCTCTTGAAACACCTGATGCGTAGTATTTCTGCATAAAAACAAAAACATCAATTTATCATTTACTTTCCATGTTGCACATCAATTATATTGATGATATATTGTTGGGTAGCCATTTACTTTTTAGTACCCCTCTTAGTTTGGAAAGAAATTAATTCCTTTCAGTGGAACCTCATTACACTAGCTATACCTACTAAAATAAGGAGACGTGGAAAAAATAAAACAAGACAAAACAATGAAAAGTGAAGGCTAAGAGATTATGCAATGTTGCCATCGCTATAATATACCAGCCACAAATTACCGAAAAATAACCAAAAAAATGGTTACCATAATATTCGGTACGGAATTACTACCGTACCGCTATCATACAGTACGATAGTGGTATTGTATTTTCAATACCACGGTAATACTGTACCATACTATAATTCATATATTTTTATGGGGTTTTTGTGCATAAGTCCCCAACCAAGCATCTATATTATTCTAGGTTTAGGGGTTATATCTCTTTCACTAATAAGCCCATCCCTTTAATATTTATTATAAATAAAGGAAACATTCATGTATATGCCAATATTACTCTCAACCCTTTATACACAATTCTTAATTGTAACCCCAATGTAATCAATTTTGTCCACAAAAATCCGATTTTGACCACAAAAATTCAATTTTAACCTTTTTTTGGAGCATACTTTAATATGCTCCAATTTCATCCTCAAAATTGAATAATTTGTGAAATTTGGGGTCAAATTGAGGTTAAATTAAGTTAAGGATGAACTTGGAGCATATTAAAGTATGAGGGGTTATTTTAGTCTTTTACAAAAATCTGGACCATGTGTGGACTTATTGGTAAAGGAGTTTTTTGTCTGGATCTCTTTACGAATAAGTACCCATTGATGGGCTTATTTGCAATGACCCCGATTTTTTTTTATTTAACATACATTTTGCTTTCTATTAAATAACAATTAATATATATTACATCATGTTCATATACTTAAACTAGATCACAATTGAAAAGTCAAATCATATTTTACATTTAATTTCGATTCTCCTTGCTCTCATCCCATATATATATATAGTAGAGTTCATCATTTGTACCAACTTATTGTGGGAAAATAATGTAAAGAATTTCAAAACCTAAACAAAAATAGCTTATTTTCTCTCTTTTTCACTTTTTTTTTTTTTTTTGTTTTCACTTTTTTTTTTATTTTTTGGGTTGGGATATTCTTGCATTATTTGTAACTATAGATAATTTTTTCATTTCACCTAACTACCTAAGTCAACAGTAAAATATCAAATAAGGGGAAATGTGTTTTTTAAAGAATAACATTGGGTGATTCTTGCTATCAATACAATGGTTTTTGTGGCCAATCGAAATTACACATGGATTTTGTACAAATAACTCAAGTAATAAAACATCTTGAGGAATATAAAAGAAAAAACATAAAATAATATATAGAGAAAATCACCACGCACGTGCAACGCACGTGCACCTTGCTAGTATATACAAATATACAAATCTGGTGGATATATATGGTGCTTCTCTTAATACCTAAAATTCACTAATTATCGAAATATTAAACATAACTAAAGGTATTGAGTTCTAATTGCCACCATTGAGACCAAAATAATTACAAAAATCCATATCTACATTACACGAAACTATTGAACTTTGGAGATAAACATGAAACTAAAGCTACTCAGATCATTAAGTCAAATAACCCAAGCTTGAATGGCCTTGCCAGCTTTTCCTAGGTTGACGTTATTAATTGCGATGAGATGATAAAGGAAAAAAAAGGAATAAAAAGATTTAAAGATGGAGAAAACCAATCAAGAAAGCAAGACAAATACCAAACACAGCCTACTACATGATTCCAGAAAAGCAAAAAGACCGAGGAAGTAAGCAAAATCGACGGCAACTAACTTTGTTCGAAACAAATTTAAAAGGAGTTTTTTGCCTGAAAGAGAAACTAATAAGCTTTTCAATCAACGGAGAATGATAGAAGTCTTGCTTACTGTTTCGGTTCTTGCATATAGTATACAATGTATTCTATCCTCATCATCAAATCTAATGTTACGCCTCAGATAATTAGCCAACCTCAATCTGCAGCCCCTCCAAGTATTTTCAGACCTGATATATATGACCAACTCAATAAATGAGTAATAACATAAGACAACAAGGTACATATACATATATACACACCCAAATTAATCTAGTCCACTTCTCATTCTATTAATGTAAGCTTGTAGCACAGATTTTATTAATGTCAATCGAGTAATATTTGTAAATTCTATGACAAAGGTAATTCACCTCTATATTCTAACAAAAAACTTACTTCCTCAAATATAAGCACACTTCAACATAGTTTTCCATAATAAAGAAAATGACATTAAAAGCCGTACAAAGAAATGATTAAATGCCAATATATACTTGTGGCCGTAGTATTTTGTAGTTGCTCTATGTATTTCAGAGCTTTAACTTTTGACCGGAATGCTCTTGAAACACCCGGTGCGTAGTATCTCTGCATAAAAAAACAAAACATCAATTCTTCATTTACTTTCCATGTTGCACATCAATTGATGATTTATCGTTGGTTAGCCATTTAGTTTTTGGTACCCCTCTTAGTTTGGAAAGAAATTAATTCCTTTCAATGTAACTCTTTACAGTAGTAGCTATACCTACTAAAACAAGGAGACGTGGAAAAACTAAAACAAGACAACAACGAAAAGTGAAGGCTAAGAGTATATATATACATATATTTAGTTGCAGAGTTCATCATTTGTACCAACTTATTCTATAACTCTCATTCTATCATGGCTGTTGTGAATCAACTTTTCAGTTCTCATCATTTAATCTAGGTACTGTAATTTAAGTATCAACATTTTACCTATGTTACAATTTATTTGATTTCTTTAAAGTAATAGTCATATTTTAAAACAGTTTCAATCTCGTATTGTTTTCTTGTGTAATTTTGAGGTATATTTATTTTTAAGAAGTGAAAAATATAATTTTCTCTCACATTTTTAGTTTAAATCACTCTAAGCCCACCTATAATGAATTAATGGTAGAGTACCATGTACCAATTATGCCGTACCAAAGTAACGGTACACCGAAAATTGGCATACCGCAATTTTTGGTGAGGTAATAGTATTAAATTATTTAATACCATAAGATATTTTCTCTTATTTTTGGTGAGGTACGCATTACTGTGCCAAATATTCGGCAACCATACAGAATCCACCCCTAAATGATACTCATACACATACTTGAGAGATATACATATTTTATCAAAATGTTTTGGAGTTTTTATGCGTTTGAATGTAGAAAAGTTAATGCAATTCCCGACAAACTAATAAACATATAACAATTAGTATACCCTAAATTACCTTGTCTTCGTACCCGGGAAATTTTCCAGTCAACAGCCTTTTGTTTACTCGCTTCACCCATCCTTCAGGCATCCACGAGTCGTCATCCACTTCTGTTTTCTTGGTTGGCTTCTGCACAAAATATTAGATAAAATTAATACTTCAAAAAGTAAAGCCTCCATTCACAGTTGACAGGTCATTGTTTCCATGTTCAAATCTCTAATTCTATTCAATCGCCGCAAGCAAGAATTAATTAATTTAATACAACGTAGACAGCAGATATATACGCGATAAAATCACGCTTGCATGCACGGATAAAATAGCTACAACAGAAGGCATACCTTTGTTGCACCATCTAATTTTGCTTTTTTCTGCTTCGAAGGTCCACAAGGCATCGCAGAACCTTCTCCGACTCGTTCTCGCTCCTAAATAAGTTGAAAGTACAAAAGTTGATTAAAACTTTGCAAAACCATATATCAAAATCTATGGTAAAAGCATGATAAAGTCCATGATGCAGCAAATAAATAACAAGATTCCACAAAATATATATAGATATATACATATACATATAAACATATACATATACACATAGATATACATATATATACATACATATATATACACATATATATACATATATGTGTGTGTGTGTGTGTGTATATATATATAGATAGATAGATATATCATTGGGTTCTGAGGCTTGGAACTAGCTCATCTACTTTACCTCGAGAGGTTGATTTGCTGCGGAAATTCACAAAACCAGCGCGGGTTGTTGAAGCAGCTGAGGGTTAGGCATAGGCTACTGCAAATGGAGCTATAATTACTTCATATGTCCAGAAGAGTGATTTAATATCATCTTTTTCTTCTCCAAAAGGTGCCTCTGCCGATGGTTGAGGCGATGACACGTCATCTGCGATTGACTCCGGCCATGACAAGGCGATCGCATCAGCCAAGCACTCTGGCTCTTTGAACACAATAGTGGAGCAAGGCTCGCTGTTTTCAGACAAAGATTTAGGTTTTTTTATTTTTGTTTTTTTTTTCCTACTGGTGCAGGTGCAGGATAGATATATAGCGGTAGAAATACACATCTGTCATCGGGAATAGATGGAAACTGCATTAATTAGTCCACATCAGGAAATTTTTTTATAAATTTGAAATGGCTCCATTCATCATTTAGAACTCATTTGAAATTTTACCGAAAAGGGAGAAGTGAATCAGCTAAACAAGATTCAGCATTTAAATGTTGAATTCAAATTAGTTTTCTGTTTAAAGACAAACATTAAACACCTCCTAAGATGGATTAGATTTTTAGCACATTTACTATTATTTTTGCAAGTGATTATATTTACGTTTACTAATTTCGCATATTTGTATTATCACCACTTCGTTTACTAATTAAAGAGTATATCCACAAGGAAGGGTATGTTTTTGATATAATAGAAAATAAGAATGTAGCATTAGTTATTGGAAGAGGTGAAAGATATTTCCTGAAACCTAAATTGCAATAAGAAAGTTGCCTCCCATTCAGCGCCTGTTTTACTGTCGACGGCTCGACACAATTTGGAAGGATTATGTCCAATCCAAAGCCTTGTAGATTGCGCATCCATCCGTCAATCTTGATACATACTTTGCAATCATATCATGGACTAGATTGCAATCTTTTAATGACCAACACATGGTACTTTTCGTTTGCTTTGGAAATCAGTCGGTAGGAGACTAGGATGGGTTGCTTGCCTATCGATCTCTCAAACTCGTATACAAGATATTCGAGCTTTGGAGTGAGCTCTACCTCAAATTTGATACTCTTCTCCTCGCCCACACTCAAATCCGGAGTTACAATATGGATAGGATTTTCTTCGTAAAATTCCGCATCTACCAACATCTTCATCCCACTCTCATCACACGCAAAAGTATCTACAGAACTGGGATGAATAATTCCCTCAAGGTGCTCAACCTCATCGTTAATACGAAAATCTATAAATACCTCGTTGTCTTCATAAGGATGGTCAGATGTGGTTTGTGAATGTGACATCTCTAAAAAATTTCGGAAATAATTGCCAGAAAGTGGAGTTCGTCTTGTAAATAGCACAAGTGTTCATTTGTCTGTGCAATTCCATTTTCTGGGTTCACCCTTCGATGTCTTTCAATATCCTCAAACTCTTGTTGAATGTAATCTGCTCTGGATTTATTCTCGTAAAGAGAGATATCATAAATCAATACCATCAATGTATACAAATCTGCAAAAACAGAAAATCTAAAGTAAAGTAAGAATAGTTGGTAACGATATTAATAAATTCAAGATTAACTAATTCCCCGGCAACGGCGCCAAAAACTTGATACGCGTAAAACCTACGTATGAAAAACCGCAAGTGTACAGTATCGCGTTTTGCAGAATAGGGAATTCCAGATATCGATCCACAAGGAATTAAGTTCCTAAATCTACCAAGTACCGTAATTATACTATCCTAAACTTTATCTAGACGAACGAAAGAATGGAAGGGATGAAATAAAACTAAAGGAAACAATAATAAAAACACCGGTCCGCCAGAACAAGCAAGGAATTCTGACGTGTGATGGCTTTTAGGGTAAAATCCACCAGTGTACTATCGATAAAGATCTACAAATCCGAATCTATTGTCAATTTTATGTTCGCTAACCCAGACACTAAAATATGTTCGCTAACCCAGACACTAAAATACCCTAACCCCCCCATCTCCAGTGTAGTTAGAATCTACCCACAAGTCCGATAGGTCAAGTCCTTAAGGGCTACCCGAGGTGCATCACATCTCCGTTTCCACAACCCGAGCTATGGTTTCCTAAAATCAAACGAGAAATCATCTCTCGAGTTCATTCCCATTTACAATCAATTCAATTGTTGGCCAAACAATCAAAAGCATTTAATACAGGAAAACAAAAGCATTTAATACAGGAAAACATAAACAGAATCAAAGAACGACAAATAGATCACAGATCTGGAAATCAAAATCAATAGATACAAGGTTTCATTTCCGTAAAAGAAAATGCTCAGTTCATTACAAACATAGCATCCAAATGAAGAACACGAGAAATCATAAACTAAACGTAAAGAAAAGCTTATGAAAAACCCTCGTCGAAGCTTCCCGCAAAGAACTGGCGAGAACCGAAGAGAAAACGAAGAAGAGGTTGAGAGATGGTCGAGAGACTGAAAAATGAAAAAGAGACCTTCTATTTATAGTGAGAAATCAAAGAAAAATATCTAGTCTCGATTTGTGTGCCCAGCTCGCGATCAGGGCTTCTTGGATTGCGATCTGGCAACCTCGAAAAATGCGCACCGCCTTCCCAGATCGCGATCCAGGAAGTGCGGATTGCGATCTGCCCCAACTTCTAGATGCTATTGGAATTTGCCACCAGATCGCTATCCGGTGATTCTGGATCGCGATCTGGCCTCTGCATCAAATTCAAACATTTTGTTAACCCTTTTTCAGCCCGAATTCTACAATTGTGCATTTCACAAACGTTGTAGCCCTTGAAGTTAGCTTTCTAAATACACTTGAATCAGCCCAATCGGAGGTCGTATGCAAAAGTTATGCTTGAAATACCAAACACTGCCACAATCCGCGAGAATGCACTTTTGCACGTGTTTGGTTTGATTCTCCGCTTCGCTTCCAAAATCGTCTCGAATCGGCAAAAATATCTTATCTTTACCTAAAATATAAATAAAACAAAAACAACATAATATATACAAATAAAGGCGAAAACTCGGACGAACGAAGACCAAAACTCGAAAAATTGATAAGTGAAAATCATGCAAAATGAAGTAAATCTAGGTGGGTGGCTCCGACGTATGCGACGGTGAATCTATGTTGAGGTGCAAGCATAGTCCCACATCCGTTTAATATGGAAAATATCACTTCGTTATAAGGAGATAAGGAGGGGATGAGGGGATAGCAACTCTATTTATGGGACCTTTTGGAAAAAAAACCCAAGAGCAAAACCAATAGGATTTGGCCCAGATTAGACAATATCATACATATGTAGAGCTTTTGGTATACCGATGGGCCCCTAACAATCTCGACAGTGAATCTCCAATTTGAGCTCTATAACAGAGAGCTGTTGGGCTTGGGTTTAGAGACGGGATGGTGGTTGATGGGTTTGGTATGACGGTGAAGATGATGAAAATGTGGGGTCGGGTGGGTGGCTTTTGTTAGACGGGAAAGATGAAAGAATAATGGATATGTTTGGTGAGCTTTTGGGCTTCCATTTCCATTTTATTCTGGAGAAAAGATGTTTTAGGAGAAGAATTTGAAAATAAAATAAATGTTGTTTGTATTTTGAGATGAGACAATTTGTACTGTAGCAAGTTAAATCATGTTTAAAATGTGTTGGAAAAAGGTATTCTGAAAGAAGAATTTGAAAGATGAAGTGATTTGAGTTTGTATTTTAGTGAAAACAATTTTCACTGTAGCAGTCAAATCATGTCTGTTAGATAGAGAAATATTTGAATTATATTTGGGGTAGTTTTTGACAATATTTGAGAAAGATAATTGTATTTGGGGAAAATAATGAAAAGAATTTGAAAACCTGAACAAACATGGGTCTGAGAGGGTTGTACTTCTCGGACCATAACCGGTCAATACAAATGCTCCACATAGGATTAGTACGTACCCACTAAAAAATAGTACGATACATACGTTACAAGTCAAATTACATTAAACACCTTTTTAATTGAACTGGAAATTTAATTAGAAAATTAATAATTTAAAACTTAATTCATATCAAATGAAAAAAAAAATATTACGATCAAATCTAATAGCTTTCCTTAAACTTTAGACCCACTTACATCAATCTCCTTAATTCATAAACATTTTTTCCCCTAAAAAAAATCATCATCGATTTTTTTCTTCTTTCTGGCAAAGTTCTCTGAGCAAGAAATCATCATGTGGTTCTTCTTATCGTACGGCGTAGAGAAATGTGAGACAAATCTTTTCTTCCATACATATTGATTTTCCCATGTGTCCTGTAGAACTGGATGATTGTTAATCCATTTTTATTTTGTCGGCAATTTGATCATTTGATGGTGACAGTGTTTGTATGATTTTGTAATGTATCTGCTAGAATCTAATTGGATTCAAATAAATAAGGGATGAGTAAAGACTTGTACAACAAGTTCTTATGTACCGTGAAACACAAAAGAGAAGTCTCCTTGTTTAATTTAATTCTTTAATTTGTCATTAATTGTTTCTTTTATATAGGAAACTATCTTATTAATTAAAAAGAGTTATTCTTAACTTAATGACTTTTGTAGAAGTCTTATGAAAGAAGAATTCTTTCTTTCCATATACTTCACACAGACGTGTGAGAATTAAGTGAAGAGATAATTTCTTTTTATTTGTTTCTTATATTATCATTAATTGGCATATTATTATTTATATGGGATCTGTCTTGTATTTTAATAATATATTATTAGATAGGTATCTTATAAATCTCCTATATCTCCTCTACATATCTAACCTTAATTAGTTTGCTTCTAGAGGAGTCTTTCCCAAGCTATATAAAAAAAAGAAGCAGCAACAGAATACGGCGTGTCTTTTTTGAGAGAAACAAATCTCTCTTTTCTTTGTTGTTGTTCTGTGCTTTTTGGAGAGAGAAACATTTCTCTTTTCCTTGTTGCTCTTCCGGCGACTTTTTATCGAGAGAAGTGTTTAGAGAAAATATTTTTTTTTCATCTCGTTTTTATTGCTCCATTGTGATACGTGATTTTCATAGAAAATATATCGGCTTCAAGGCTTTATGGTGAAGACACCAAGATTCAAGGATTATCACAAGT